ATTAGTCATTTCCCCCTTGCCATCGAGTCGATTCCAACTTCTAGCAACCCTATGGTACAGAGTAGAACTGCTCCATAGGGTTTCCAAGGAGTGGCTAGTGGATTCCAATTGCTGACCTTTTGGTTAGCAGCCAAATGCTTAAACCACTGTACCACCAGGGCTCCATAGCCGTTAGAAATGCACATCAAAACTACAATGAGATACCATCTCATCATGACATTACTGGCATGAATAAAAAAAAAAAACAGAAAATAACAAATGCTGGAGAGGTTGGGAGGAGATTGGAACTCTTGTGTATTGCTTGTGGGAATATAAAATGGTACAACCACTATGGAAAACAATATGGCACCACCTTAAAAAGCTAGAAATAGAAATACCATCTGATTCAGCAATCCCACTCCTAGGAATATATCCTAGAGAAATAAGAGCCATCACAGGAGTAGACATATGCACACCCATGCCCATTGCAGCATTATTCACAACAGCAAAAAGATGGAAACAACCTAAGTGCCCATCAACAGATGAATGGATAAACAAATTATGGTACATATACACAATGGAATACTATGCAACAATAAAGAATAATGATGACTCCGCTTAACATCTCACAACATGAATTAATCTGGAGGGCATTATGCTGAGTGAAATAAGTCAATTACAACACAACAAATATTATATGAGACCACTAGTATAAAAACCCAAGGAAAGGTTTACGCACAGAAAAAAACAATCTTTGATGGTTATGAAAGAGGGGAGGGGAAGACGGAGGAGGGGAAGCCACTAACCAGATAATGGACAAGTGTTAACTTTGGTGAAAGGAAAGGCAACACATAATATAAGAGAAGTCAGCACAAACTGACAAAGGCAAAGCCATGGAAGCTTCCTAGACACATCAAAACACCTTGAGGGACTGAGTTACTAGGGCTGAGGGCTGGGGACCATGGTCTTGGGGGACATCTAGTTCAATTGGCAAAACATAGTTCATAAAGAAAATGTTTTATATCCAACTTTGTTGTGTAGCATCCGGGGTATTATAAGCTTGTGAGCGGCCATCTAAGATACATGTATTGGTCCCATCACCTTTGGAGCAAAGAGAATGAAAAAAAACCAAAGACACAAGGGAAATATCAGTCCAAAGGACTAATGGACCACATGAATCAGCCTCCACCAGCCTGAGCCCAGAAGAACTAGATGGTGCCTGGCTACCACTGCCTATTGCTCTGACAGGGATCACAATAGAGGGTTCAGGACAGAGTGGGAGAAAAATGTGAACAAAATTCAAATTCACAAAAAGAAGTCCAGACTTACTGGTCTGACAGAGACTGGGAGGAAATCCTGAGACTATGGTCCCCGGACAGCCTTCTAACTCAGAACTGAAGCCACTCCCAAAGTCAACCTCTCGGCCAAAGATTAGACAGGCCTATAAAATGAACAATAACACATGTGAGGAACATCCCTCTTAGTTTACAAAACCAAATGGGCAACACCTGCCCAAAAGCAAAGACGAGAAGGCAGGAAGGGACAAGAAACCTGGAGGAACAGACATGGGGAAACTGGGGTGTAAAGGGAAAGGGGGATAGTGCTGACACATTGCAGGGATTGCAAGCAATGTCACAAAACAATTTGTATATACATTTTTGAATAAGAAATGAATTTTCACTGTAAACTTTCACCTAAACACAATATTTTTTTTTTTTAAAGCTGTACCTAAATGTTCATTTTTTAAAAATTCTGATTTACACATCAATGTTGCCATCTTCTGGTTATATCGTCTCACTGCATTTTTTGGTAAAAAAATACCAACTGCTTTACTGAAAGATAAAGAGAAAATAGTTGGAATCAACCTGATGGCAAAGGGTTTGGTTTGGGTTTTATATATGATTGGGTTATACATCTGTAGTAATAAAAATAATTTGTTAAATCATGAGATATCTCCATTTCAAAGATGATGAGATAATGAGAGAATATATTTCATTATATATGGTTGCCGTGAGTCGGAATTGACTCAGTGGCAACAAATTTTATTTCAATTGTCACTTCATCATAGAATAAGCATCACTTACACTGGTTTAGGAGCCCTGGTGGCGCAGTGGTTAGGAGCTATGGCTGCTAATCAAAAGGTCAGCAGTTCAAATCCACCAACCGATCCTCAGAAACCCTACGGTGCAGTTCTATTCTGTCCCATAGGGTCATTATGAGTTGGAGTTGACTTGACAGGTTTGGTTTATTTTTTTTTTGGATGTTGGTTGAAGCACATAACTAAAATGTAATCCACATAACAATCTGTTTAAAATATCTAGATCAAAATAAATAATCCGTGTTAAAGATGTTATAATTAAAAAAGTGAAATCATGCCATGATTCTATTCAACTGTGAGGAAGTAAATTTTTCCTCTCATACACAAATCTACTCTTTTTCTTAGTAAGAGAACATACTTATTTAGGCAGCTCTCCCTCATTAATGAAAGTAGAACTCATATTAGTGTTAATTAATAGAACACAAAACTTCATGAAAAAGAACACAGGTCAGCAAAACATTAGTTGGAATAACATTCATAGTTCACAGTCAAGAAGGTCAATCTACTAGAGAAAGAAAAAGGAACATTCATTTATTGAGCACTGATTGTTTTAGGCGTTTTGCAAGCACTACCTCATTTAATCATAGCAATCATCTAGTAAGACAGATAGAACTTTTCTTACTATTTGGATGAGAAATTAGTCCTAGAATAGCTAAATTACTAGCTCAAAGTCACACAATGGTAATCTTCCTATATGAATCCTCTGTGTAAAGGACTTAGAACAGTGCCTGATACACAGGTAATCTTTTTTGTTTACTATATAGCTCAACCATACAATATATCCTGCTTCTTTTTCCATTAATACTATATCATGAATATTTCCCTATATTATTATTCACTGAAAATATGGCTTTAGTGTCTGTAATGCTCTATTATATGAGTGTTCTATAGTTTACTGTTTCACATTGAGGTTACTCCTAATTTTTTCACTGATGTAAATAATAGCGTGATGAACATACCTATAGAAAGATTAATTTTTAAATGGTAAAAAGTGACCAGCTTTGTACTCTCAAGGACTAGCTAGACCAAGGGAAAGGGCATGTTTTGCAAAGGTACTTTATTTTGAGTTTGCATATTCATTCAAGAATTTTTTTTTTTTTATCAACCACCTATAAATACCTTGTATTTTAAACTCAGTATTGGACAGATGGAGCCCTGGGGGCCCAGTGGTTAAACGTTCAGCTGCTAACCAAAAGGTTGGCAGTTCAAATCCACCAGCCAATCCTTGGAAATCCTATGGAGCGGTTCTACTCTGTCCTATAGGATCGCTATGAGTCAGAATGACTCAATGGCAGTGGATTTGGTTTGGTTTTTGGTATTGGACAGATAGAATTTACTGTTAAAACTTGGTCAAGTTACCATCCCTCTGATCCTCAGTTTCCAAATGTGTACATAGTCACTGTGTGAATTAAATGAGAAAACACTTTAAGCACCAAACACAGTCCTAAGAACAGTAGTAAATGCTCCTAAAAAAAAAAAAAAAAAGCTTACAAAACAACAAATTAATAATACCAGCACTTAAATAAGTGATAAGGTGAATAGAACTATCAGTAGGTGATTTAGACCTTCGGAGAAGGGGTAATTAATTGGGGTTGGAGAAATTGGCTGGTGCTTCAAAGGTAATATGAATCAGATGGGCAGGGAGAAATCAGATGGGTTTTCAGCAGGGTTTTTTTGGTGAAGGAATAGTTAGGAAGTGTGCTCCTGTTGACCTCACTTGGAATGACTGCAATGGAGGTTATGTGTCAGGGAAAGTGGGAAATTAAAGTTGAAAAGGTAGTTTGGGGCAGATTACTGAAGGCATTGATTAGCAAGCCAAGATGTTCACACTTCATCCTTGGACTATGCGGAGCTATGAACATTTCTGAGCAGTGTGGTATCAGGAAAATTAACCTGGCCACAAATGAGCCATAGATTGGGGGAGGCGATGGGAATTAGGGAGTTCAATCTGATCCATAATAAAACGGATGTAGGTGAAGCAGTATGGCCTCCAGTACTATGTAGGGCCCGTGACAGAGGACATGGAACAGGTATGTTAACAGCTCCTGTCCATCTGTGTCCGTTGCTGGGGCGTCGTGTACGGGTGTGTAGAGACTACGGGGCTAAGAGCTCCCCTCTTGGTTGGGCTTGGGTGGTGAGAGCTCTGTGCACGACGGCTGAAGAATTCTGAAGAATCTTGATGAAACAGGTAAATTTTCCTTCAAGAATAGATTAGCAGGCGCTATCCTGGAAAGGGAAACCACGCTATCACAGAAGGCACAGAAGGCGTCAGCCGAAGGCTCCCACCCCAGCTCTGCCACATGCTGCCCTGTGGCCTTGGGCCGTTTCCTCCGTGTCGCTGAACCTCGGGTGCCTCAGCGGACAAGACCGCTCGTTGAATGTTCAACGCAAAGTGTTCGTAGGAGGAGAGGAGTGGTGTCCGCAAAGGGCCAGGCGCCCCAAAAGGTTCTCTTTCTATGGTTATTTCTGCTAACTAGGATCTCTTCCCTCTTTTAATAACCTCGAGACATGCAATCTTTTGGTAAATATGCCAAAGATAAGCCTGAACGCTAAGAAAGAAACTGCGGAGAGTTCCTCAGACTGTGCGGCCAGCCCCAGCGTACGCCAGAGCGGTGCGGAGGGCGACGCGGACGACTGCACCGCGGCAGGGGGGCAACGGCTCAGGCGACGGTGGGAGGGGATGGAGGAGGAGCGGCGCGCGGGGGGTGACGGGAGGGGCGGTGCGAGGGCGGGCTCGGGGAGGCCTAGATCGCACGCCCCCACACGTTTTGTGGTCGCCATGACGACCAGGGTGCCCGCAACGGCGGCGGGGACTAGTCGTTGAGGCTACGAGCGGAGCTAGGCTACTCCGGCCCTTGCCCGAACTCTGCTGGCTTGGCCCCGGAGAGTGACCCAGCGCCATCCGAACAGGGACTATGAGAAAATGGTCGGGCAAAAGAGGAGTAAACTCAAAGAAGCGGCTCCCGATCCGTTTCGGTCTTCTCGCAACATGCAGTCTAAGCGGCGGCGCCGGGCCACCGGAGCTGGGGAACCGGAGATGGAAGAGGAGCCGCAGGAGGAGGTGGAAAAGCAGGAGCTGCTTCGGCAGCCTTCGCCCGTCGGCGGCGGGAGCTTGCTAGGGGGTGCCCGGAAATACTTGTCGCGGAGGACCCGAAAGCTGAACCCCGCGAATTGCATTAGGCTGGAAGTGGGCCCAAGGACCCTTCTACTCGGCCGCTTCCAATTCCTCCATCGTTTCCTGGATCAGCTCCGCGAAAAGGTGCAAAAGCTGCAGACGTATAAGTTTTCGAGCAAGACCAACATGGGCATAGGTGAGCAGAGTAGAGCGGGGAGAGCCCTTGCAAGGAGCCCCGGCGGCGCTCGGGGCCAGACATCATCCCGCCAGGGCACAGAGCAGCAAGACCCGGGGTCAGAAGGACCCGCAGGCCCTTCCCTCAGAGCCCACAGTTTGAAGGAGCTTTGGTGAGCCTGGAAGGAGATCAGTCCAACAAGCAAGCGTTTGTGGGTGCCTACACACTCTAACAACAAAGCTCGAGCTCCGGGTAATCTCAGGACAGATGTGAGAGTTAATGGAGACAGGTTGACAGGACTGGCTGGGTGGTGGGGTAGCAGGGAAGCAGGGAGACAGGAAAGCCAAAGAAGATGGTATGGCTTTAACCTGAGTCATTGGAAGAAGTCATGGTGGTGCCCATAGAAAATAGATGAGATAAGAGAGAAAAATGAGTATGTTTTTAGAGGAAGCCTAAGAGTACTTTCGGATGTATGATTTTGAGGTATCTACGGGACATACGGAAACCCTGGTGGCGTAGAGGTTAAGAGCTACGGCTGCTAACCAAAAGGTCGGCAGTTCAAATCTATCAGGCGCTCCTTGGAAATCGTATCGGGCAGTTCTACTCTGTGCCGTAGGGTCTCCGTGAGTCGGAATCGACTCGACAGCAACGAGTTGTTTTTTTATGGGGCATACAGAGTAGCCCTGGTGGCGCAGTAGTTAAGCGCTCAGCTGCTAACCAAAAAGTCGGCAGCTCGAATCTACCCATCGCTCGGCGGGAGCGGTGTGTTTCCGTAAAGATTTCAGCCTTGGAAACCCTATAGGGTAGTTCTACTCTGTTCTATGGGATCGCCATGAGTCCAAATAGACTAGAAGGCAATGGGTCTATGGGACACCCAGATGAAGATGTCTAGCAGGCTCTTGGATATGTATGACCATGGTTCAGAGAGCGATAGTTTAGGAATGAAGATTATAGATTTGGGTATTAGCCACATAGAAGTGATAGTTGAAACTTCTAAGATTGAGCGAGATGGCCAGTGGATACCAATGTGAAGAGAGAAAAGTGGGCAAATGATAGGTACTTGGGGGAAACTTTTAAATTTACATTTAAGAAATGAGGAAGAAGAGAAGCCAGATAAGCACATAAAAATGGAGTGGTCAAAAAATAGAAGAACTGCACGAGTTCTGTGTGATGGAAAGATGAGAGAGGAAGAAAGCCAAGAATGTGGTCACATGCTACTGGGAGTTTGAAAAGTGTGAGAATTGATGGAAACCATTGGATTTGATAAGCAAAGGTCATTGGTCATTTAACAGAGTTAAGGGTGATTAAAAAATTTGAGAACAGTTAATGGTGATGATTGAACAACATGATAACTGTACATGTCACTGAACTGTACATGTGAAGATTGGAGAAATGGCAAATGTTTTGTTTCCTGTATACTTACCACAATAAAATAATTAACACTAGAAAAAGAGTTACAGGAACTTAGGAGAAAGAGGTTGGCCTAGAGTCTTGTGAATGAATGGGGAAGAAGAAACAGAGACAGGGACATAGAGAGAGAGAGTGCACACGTGCAACAAAGAGGGAGAAAGAGAATCCCATAGTCTGAAGGGCTGTTAGATCAAGGGAAGTGTGGTGAGGCCTAGGAGAATGAAAGGCTAACGGAAAGGATCAAGGGGAGAGGGTGAGATTGAAATTCTAAGAGAAAGAATAATTGGAGCAAAGTCTTGGAATATTCAAAGGGATGGAATGGAAAGCATATATTTGAGAAAGTAAGTGTAGAAAAGAGGAGAGCCACTTCCTCTTCTGAGATGGTAGAGAATAGGAAAGTAAAGGTTACAAGAGAGAAATATTTAGAAAAACGTTGGAGATAAGAGAGATTGGTAGTGCATGCGTCAAAAATGGTTTGTCTTTCAGTAAAGCATTAAGGCTAGGTTATCTTTCGAAGTGAGACTGGTAGAGATGCTATTCGGAGGCTCAGGAGATATGCTTTTTTCTCACACCTTCAAAAGAGGTGATAAGCATTTCATGCATTTAGAATATTGACATTATTATACCTTATCACTTTTTCAGGGATAGCAGGCAGGTGTGGGATGTAGAGTAGGGGGAGGGAGATGGGATAGACAAGAAAATTTTGAGGCTCTTTGGAAAGCTCGATGGATTTGGTAGGATATTTGATCTTTTCATTTTCCTTAGATATAATTTTAAGGGTTTTCGCCAGAATATATAATATGCATGGGTTTGTGTAGAAAGTCAGTAAAGGAGAATAACAAAGAGGATGCACACAGGGCAGCCTCTGTATATCTTAAAGTTAATGAAATCTCATTAGATGGGCATCTGCTTCAAGTTGACAGAGAAGGTATAAGGCTTAATTTCAAGGTGGTTCAGGGCATCTTAGAAAGAGTTAATATATTAATGAATATAGTATAAAAGGGGTCAGCAAACTTTTTCTGTTAAGAAAATGTAAGTATTTTAAGCTTTGCAGGCTACATACAGCCTCTGTAGTTTATTTTTCTCTTCTTCCTCCTCTCTCTTTTTAACAACGTTTTAAAAGTGTAAAAACCATTCTTAGCTTGCAAACAGTACAGAAACACCACAAGTGTTTGCTGATCTGGTCTAAAATGAGCAAATCTTCTAAGAAGTATTGAAGAGTGATAGGGAAGCGCCCATGATAGTTAGGAATATAGCTGTGTCCTTTCAGAAACAGATCGCCCACTGACTTCCAAAGTGCCTCAGGGTGGGTTTGAACCACCAGTCTTTTGGCTAGTAGTCAAACCTTTCACCATTTGCTCTACCCAGGGATTCCTAGTTAGGAATATGGGGAAAGAACTATAGAAGCATGATTAGGAATTTTCAACTCCTTGCAGTTTTTTTTTTTAAAATTAATTTCTTTATTTGCATTATTTTGTTGAGTAATTTTGCTGAGTAGTTTTTTACTTTTAAGAGGTTAATGTTGATGGTTTGTAAAATGACTTGCTAAGTATATTTGGGACAGCCGTAAGAAATATTATTATGAAATCATGGAGGGGAGGCACGACTTCCAGAAAGGCAGAGTGAGGACTTCCATAAATCCACTCCTCCATCAAAGCAAGGAAAATACTTGAAAAATTACCAGAATCAACATTTTCAAAATGATGGAATTAACCAAAGGTTTACAACAATCTAAAGAGCATTTAGAACCTCTGTACGAAAAAAAAAAAAAAAAAGTTGCCATGGTGGCAACAGCATGAGTGTGAGAGTAGAATGTGCTCCATATGGTTTTCAATGGCTAGTTTTTTGGAGGTAGATCACCACGTCTTTCTTCTGAGGCACCTCTGGGTGGACTTGAACCTCCATCCTTTTGGTTGACATCCAAGTGCATTCAGCATTTGAACCACCCAAAGACTCTGAACCTCTGTAAGCGAAGCAGTTTGTGGTGTTTTAACTTGGCCAATTCCATCCCACTCTCTCTAGCTCCATCCCGTTGTAGAGTTGCTTCCAACTCATAGCAACTGTATAGGGCAGAGTAGAACTGCCCCATAGAGTTTCCAAGGAGCATCTGGTGGATTTGAACTGCCGACCTTTTGGTTAGCAACTGAGCTCTTAACCACTGAGCCACCAGGGCCCCTCTCCAGCTCCATCCTATTGTGGTCTAGTTGATTCCGACTCACAGTGATCCTATAGGACAGAGTAGAATGGGTAGCGGGGAAAACCAGCAGCCTCCCAGTCACCAAAGAGGGCAGACTGAGTTTAACTTCTCAAAAAGCCTCACCTCAGATTATTGTCACTGTTTGACCTGTCTCACAGCTCCCTAGTAAAGCCTCATTCACGGGGCATTGGCATGGTTGGCACAGCAACTCCAGATGAGTCTCCTCAGTAGTCAGAGTGCTCTCAGAGCTTCAGGAAGTTATTCGTGAATATATTGCACAGTGGCTTCTGTTAGCTAAAATCATTTCTGAAAGAATCTTCCTTTAAAAATGTTATATAAAGAAATAAAGAATAAGAGAACAGGGAATAGTAGAGAATAATACTGAAAATCACAAAAAAAGTAAAAATCATCTATAAATTCATCACTTTTTAATAAATTATCTAAGTGAGATGTAAAGTCTTTCACATTGTTCCCGTTGCTCCTCACATCCGCCCTCCAGAGGTAAGCACTGGTTTATGGACATAAATTTGGTTTGTGTCCTTCTGGAATTTTTCCTATGTGTATATAGGCAGAGGTAGCTAGCCATTTTGCCTGTGTGCACATGCTTTCTTTCCCTCTCTAGACATAGAATACATTTGGAATACTTATTTTAAAGATATTTTATTAAAGCAGCCTTTAATGTCTTTTTTGTTTTTCTTTTTCCAGCTGCCTTTGTGGGATTTTTACACTGGTAAGATTTAGTTTGTTTGAAATAAATAACATTTGGATTAAAGTTTTTCATCAGTGTTTGCATGCAATAAAATAACTGTTCTCTATGTTATAGAACATCTATATGTGCACCAATTTACACATGTATGTTACTTTTTAAATTTTTTTGTGTTTTTGGTAAAAGTTTACACAGCAAATTAAGTTCCCATTTAACAATTTCTGTACATACTGTTCAGTGACATTGGTTACATTTTTCACAATGTGTCAACATTCTTATTATTTTCATTCTGATTGTTCTGTTTCCATTAGTCTAGCACCCCCCTCCCCCTTAGCTTCTTATCTTTGCTTTAGGGTAAATGTTGACCATTTGGTCTCATGTAGATGATATAGATGTATCTGTTACTTTTTACAAACCTCATATGTGAAACAGCATCTATAAATAGGTACATTAGAATAGTAATTTATGAATTAAAATATTTTTGCTTTACCAAAGGATTCACCACTATAATTTCTTTAAATATCCAGCTTTTTTAGTGTATTCTGCATGCTTCTTTCATATAAGAAACTCCCTTATTTTATATTAACTGTGTTGATAGTCACAAATTTAGAGCTAAAGTTTTACTAGCACCTGTCAATTGAGAATCAGGTGAAAATGAAGATAAAGACTCTGAAATAGTAATGCAGAATTAAATGAGTATTTCAAGTTTATATACACATATACTCTATTTTACATGAGATGTATTTGTAAAAATAATATGTAAAATAATATTATTTTCCTTCTGACATTTTCATTTCTAAATGAGCTTTGGGATTTCTCCTCTTGGGAAGTATGTGATTGGCCCCCACTTTCTACTGGTATAGTGTTGCACTAGCTACTTAACCTGCAGGGACTTTCTGATGTTAGACTAAGACTGTAATGCTAGGAAGCATTTCCTACAACTATCGGTACCCTAGCATATATCGTACGTGTGAATGAGGGTTAGTGAGAAACAGGGTTGATGTACAGAATCTTGCTTTATTTTCCAAATCATTAGGAAGCATCTACTATGTAAATTAAGGATAGCATGATTGCTGACTATGAACTAATTTTATCACATATGCTCTTATTTTTAACTGCCTACAGCTTGACTTTGAAGTTGATGCCTTATGTGATATCATCCTTATTTAAAAATTGCCTTAGTCTGGAATAATTTTATTTAAAATTATGTTTGAATGCTTTTTTACTAGTTAGAGCAGCATTTCCCAGGCCTGGAACATTCGAATCACTTGTGAAACTTAAAAAAACAGAACAGAAATCTGCTTCTGTTCTGATTCGGAGATCTGGAGTGGGAGATGGGATGAGAGAGCCACAGGAATTTTAGGTATACGGTTATAATTAAAAACCAGTGAGTTAAAGAACTTCGGGGGTCTGTGATGCTGTATTATAAATGCCTAAAAATGTACAAAGTATGAAGGAAATTATAAAATTATCTCAATATTTGTTATAAAAATCTATTCTTTTTCACTTTTATGAATTCTTTATTTTGCTTATCTATAACTTATTTATTACTGGTTATGAAACTTGCTCTTATAATATGGTGCTTCATCTTTTTTCTAGGATACATTTAATAACACTTTTTGAAAATGATCGCCATTTTTCTCACCTCTCATCTTTGGAACGGGAAATGACTTTTCGCACTGAAATGGTTAGGTTCTTTCTTCTAATGAATTAATTTGTATTTTATAAGTAGTAGAACTATAAGCTGGAAATTCATTAGGAACTGAAATGATTTTTTGGCGGCCTGTACTGTTTCTCAAGCTATAACCATGTTTATTATTTAAATATAAGTGTTTGGGGTTATTAGTAGTATTTTTTTTACTTATCTCATTATCTCTTCCCCTTTCCTAATGCAGACTTCTTTTTAAGATAATAAAGATCAAATATAATAGCTGAAGAAAAAGGAGAACAAGGAAAGACAACATTTAAGAAGTGATATAGGGTATCAAATATTAACAGAAATTGCTTTCTCTTGGGCTAGAAGAGATCCCATGTCTTATTTGGCCCTTTTAATTCCTTTCTTTCTTTTTTTTTTTAGCTTTCTTTTGATTTCAAAATAATGTCTTTTAAGAGCCCACTTCTGATACAATTTCTTTAATGTTTCTCTTCTTTTGAGACTGAATCTATAAAATGTTTGGCTGTACTTTGAGGAGGCAGCTCTTCCCCAGTTATATTTTGCATGCCTTCTGCTCTGAGGGGCTCATCTTCCAGCACTGTATCAGACAGTGTTCGGGTGTTATCCATAGGGTTTTCACGGGCTAATTTTTTTCGGAAGTAGATCGCCAGGTCCTTCTTCCTAGCCTGTCTTAGTCTGGAAGTGCTTCTGAAACCTGTCCACCATGGCTGACCCTACTGGTGTTTGAAATACCAGTGGCATAGCTTCCAGCATCACAACACCACATAAGCCACCACAGTACAACAAACTGACAGACAGGTGGTGATATTGACACAGTGGCTGCAACAGTGGGCTCAAACATCCCTACTATTGTGAGGATGGTACAGGACTGGGCAGTGTTGCGTTCTGTTATACATAAGACTGCTGTGAGCTGGAGCTCTGTACCTAATGACTATAAAACGGGGATAATGCCATCTACCATACATATCTCACATGATTATTGTGAGGATTAAATGAGAATTGAATGCCAAGGAGCCCTGAAAGCACAACAGTTAGTCGATCAGCTACTTTCTCCTGCTCTGTGGGAAAAAGACCTAGTGATCTGCTTCTTTAAAGATTACAGCCAAGAGAACCCTGTGGGGCAAGTTCTGCTCTGTTACATGGGGTCTCTGAGTTCAACAGCGCCCAACAAAAACAACAACAAACAAATGCCAGAACTGCAGAATTGTACATTTTTGAAGAGACCATAAAAGTTTTCCAGGTCAGCTCCCAGCTAGTTAGGGGCCAAGTGGAGACTAGAACTGGTCTCCTGACTCTATAGCCACTGCTTTTTAAACTTCACTCTTATAGCTCCTTCACAGCTTTGAAGAATTGAGTATCTTAGCATTTGTATGATATCTGAATATTTTAATGGTATTATTTCCAAAGAGAGGACCTAACATTAAATAAAGAGTGTAGCTGGGCAGAGTCTGGACTCCAGATAGCAGTTCTGAAGTGGTGTGATGACGAGTCAGTTAACCTCTCTGATTCTCAGTACTCTCATCTGTTAAATAGAAATAATGCCAGCCTGACAGGGTTTTTGTGAGAATGAGGGAGCTAATGAATGGAAGCACATAGCACAGTGTCTGGCACAAAACAGTGGTTGTTATTAATAAAACTTATTTATATATTTACTGTTTCTCTAAATGTAGACTTAATACACATTAGACATCCTTTAATTGTACTATTGCCTTGCTGCCCTCTTAAGAAGAAAGGAAAAATTCTTATATAGGCTGGTATTTTATCAATCAAATCTATGGGAAATGGCCTTTCAGACATCAGCTAAAACAGATCTTCAATAGTCACTATTGTTGCCTAATCTACCAAAAATAAAGCAGTTGGGTAAGACAGGAATGAGTGTAGAGCTGAAGATTTTTTTTTTAATTGTTTTTTGGGTAGTGTGTGATTAACAATGTGATCCTTTATTCACTTACACAGTTCAGAAGTGAAAGCAGGAAATTGATGAGGGCAGTAATCTGAAGCAATATGATTTTGTTAATCCTTGAATTTTAAGTAAACAGTAGTTTAGTAAATCCATTGCTTTATATACCAGAACAATATGCTAAGATAATCCCCTTTTTCAGTATGCAATATTTGTGAGTGACTATACTCAGTTGATACTTACTTAGCATTCACTTTGTGCAAAAGCATTAGATGGAGCTATGAAGTAAGTTGAAAGCATGGAACTTCATCTCATATTGTTTACAATTATGTGTTATTTCTTAAGAGTATGGGAAAAAAGAAGTGTTTTCTATATGCAAAGTTGTACAGGGACATGAATGCATCCCTGTTTATGGTAAATACATCAGATCTCAACCTCTAAGTATCTCATAATGTGGGAATTAATAAATTGTATACATATTTAGACAATGTCCTTAAAATATAATAGTAAGGAGTAATTAAAAAAAAAAAAACTTGTTGCCATTGAGTCAATTCTGACTCACAGTGACCCTATAGTACAGAGTAGAACTTCCCCATAGGGTTTCCAAGGAGTGGCTGGTGGATTCAAACTACTGACCTTTGGGTTAGCAGCCAAATGCTTAACCACTGTGCCACCAGGGCCCAAAGGGGTAATTAGGAAGTATTGTTACTGACTTTCTCTTTTTTTCAGATGAAATTGTTCTAAAAAGATTTATAGAGCTAAATATTTTCAAGTTTTACTTATACCAACAATATGTGCCTTTTTAGGGACTTTATTATTCCTACTTCAAGACCATTGTTGAAGCACCTTCGTTTTTGGAAGGACTTTGGATGATTATGAACGACAGGCTTACTGAATATCCCCTTGTGATTAATACAGTAAAACGTTTCCATCTTTATCCAGAGGTGAGTAATATTTTGAGACAAATATTATTTGTATGCTAATCCCTTTTTTATTGTTAGATAGAAATAGTAACTAAGCACAACGATATTAGAAATGGGATAGAAGTTTTAAGTTTATTGTTGTTTATGTCCTTATAGTTAGATGAGCAGGGTATCAAAAGTTCTCCTAAAATTTACAGACCCCAGAAACTGCTCACATGAACTCAAAGAATAAAATCTTAGTATGGAAGTAATAAAGGATCCCTGGTAGCACAACTATTAAGCACTCAGCTGCTAACCAAAAGGTTGGCAGTTCTAACCCATCTAGCAGCTCTGTGAGATAAAGACCTGGTGATGTGCTTCTGTAAAGATTACAACCAAGAAAACCCTTTGGAGCAGTTCTACTCTGTCACATGGGGTCATTATAAGTTAGAATTGACTTGAGGGCACCCAACAACAACAACGTGAAAGCAATGACCAGGGCAGCATACAAGCCGAAAGGAAAGTGATGTGAGCCAAGAAGTGTTGTAAGTAGGGATGGTCTGTTGGCTTTGGAGACTGGTGGAGGTGCGTAGAACAATGACCTTGGAGTTTCATTAATAAAGTAAGATTTATTTAGTCACATAGCCAAAAATCTATGAGCATCTTCCGATGCTTAGCCTAAAAAAATATGGATTTTATGGTAGTCTGCAATTTCTACAAATTGGAAAACAAGACAAAAAAATTAGTAAACTCAGTTTGTGAACTATTAAATGCTAAATTTGACATCATGATAAGCACTATTTTTCAGTTTAGATTTTCTCAGATTCTAGCAACTTACTTAAAAATCATTACTTTTTAGTCCTTTTTTAATATTTGCATAGGTTTTAAAAATTATTGTTCATTTGCTTTTGAAACCTAAAAAGTCGTCTTCTTTTTCTAACAGGCTATTCAGATTTTCAATTTTTTTTTGGTCAGTTTTGATAATTTATGTCTTTCAAGGACTTTGTCCATTTCATCTGAAAGTTGACAAATTTATTGGCATAAAATTGTTCATAATGTTCCCTTATTCTTTTAATGTGTATAACGACATTTGGCTTTCATTTGTGATACTGGTAAATTGCATATTTTCTTTGTTTTTCTTCATCAGTGTAGTTATAGTTTTATTCATTGCTGTTTACAAAATGCTAACTTTTGGCTTTGTTGATCTTGCTCTATGTTCTTCTGTTTTGTATTCCATTGATTTCTCCTCTCATCTTTATTATTTCCTTCCTTTGGGTTTACTTTGCTCTTTTTCTAGCTCTATAAGGTGGATGCTTACATCCTTGATTTAAAACTTTTTTTTTTCCCTAAAAGAAGCATTTGTTGCTATAAGTGTTCCTCTAAACCCTACTTTATCTGCATCCCACAAATTTAGATATGTTTAATTTTCATTGTAGTTCAGGTCTAATTATCTTGTAATTTCTCCTGTGATTTATTTTTACTATTGTGATGTACTTTTATTACCATATATTTGAAGATTTTTCTAGATAACTTTCTGGTATGAACTGCCAATTAAACCTTTTGTGGTTAAAGAATATGCTGTGTATAATACCAGTTCTTTGAAGTTTATTCAGGCTTGTTTTATGGCCCCCTCTCTGGTCAGAAAGCGTCCTAGTTATCGGGTGCTGCTGTAACAGAAATACCACAAGTGGATGGCTTTGACAAAGAGAAATTTATTCTGTCACAGTTCTAGGAGGCTAGAAGTCCGAATTCAGAGTGCGAGCTCCTGGGGAAGTCTTCTTCTCTCTGTTGGCTCTGGGGGAAGGTCCTTGTCATCAATCTTCCCCTTGTCTAGGAGCTTCTCAGTGCAGGAACCCTGGGTGCAAAGGACACGCTGTGCTCCCAGCACTACTTTTTTGGTGGTGTGAGGTCCCCCATGTCTCTCTGCTCACTTTTCTCTTTTATATCTCCAAAGAGATTGACTTAAGCCACAACCTAGTCTTATACATTGAGTCCTGCCTCGTTAACGTAACTGCCTCTAACCCTGCCTCATTAACATCATAGAGATAGGGTTTACAACACATAGGAAAATCACATCAGATGACAAAATGGTGGAAAATCACACAATACTAGGAATCCTGGCCTAGCCAAGTTGACACATATTTTAGGGGGATAGAATTCAATCCATGACAGAAGGGTTCCTGGTGATGGTCATACCAAGCTGAATCTTGAAGGATGAATGGGGGTTAGACCATAAAGGGAGCATCAGAGCAAGTGGTCAGGGTGGTAAGTGAAAGGGCAGTTTGGGGCAAGCATACACAAAGATATAGATTCTTAAGAAAGTATGGAAGCTCTTCAAAGAGCTTCAGGTAGTTTGTCTGACTAAAATTGTAGGATGTTTGGTGAAAAGTGCCAGAGATGAGCCTGGAGAGATGAAATAGCCAGAGGCTAGATCATGGAGGGTCTCATATGCATTGCTGAAGAATTTAGATTTTATTCTGCAGGCAGAAGATCAAGATGTGCATTCTAGCTTTGAATTCTGGAAATGTCACATTAGCATAAGATTTGGAAGATGAACTGGAGGGAAACAAGACTGAAAGCAGGAGACTAATTAGTAAGCTATTACAGTAGTTCCCATAAGAAATGCTGAAGCCCTTATCTATAGTCATGACAGTAGTTCTGAAGGATAAGAAGTGGATTTTTAAAAGAGTTAATGTGTAGAATTAATAGAACTTCATAACCAATTGTCTGTAGGTAGGAAGCTAGGGAAGAGTAGTCCATGAAGACTTCTAAGTTTCTAGATTGTGGAAGTAACCTAATCATGATGATATTCACTAAAATGAAAACCACAGAAGAAAGAGTAGGCTTTTTTTGGGGAAAAATTATATGTTCAGTTTTGGACATGTTAAATTTGAAGTGCCTGTGGATCATTCCAAATGGAGATTTCTAGGAGTTAGGCAATATAAACCACTTAGTTTGATGCCATTCTTGACTTAATGCTTTTTTTTTAAAGTTTTTTTTTTTTTTTTTAAGTCTCATGTTTTCAGTGAGAAAATACCTGAGTAGGGTAGATAACTACAGATAATTTATGATATTAAAATGTCTAGAACTATATGGTGTTACAGCATCTATACAAATGTCCTAGAGATTACTTAGAGTTAATTCTACACGAGTTGAAAAAATGGTTTTTCATATTAAACTTAATGAAAAGCCACCATAGTGAATATTATTGTTCACTTCTAACATCCTTTCTACTCTAAATGATTAATCTAAAGCAGGGGCCAGCAAACTACAGCCCGTTGGTCAGATCCAACATGCTGCCTATTTTTGTAAATAAAGTTTTATTGGAACACGGCCATGCCCATTCATTTGTATACTGTCTATGGTGCAGTGGTTAAGAGCTTGGCTGTTAACCAAAAGGTTGCCAGTTTGAATCCACTAGCTGCTCCTTAGAAACCCTATGGGGCAGTTCTGCTCTGTCCTGTAGGGTCACTATGAGTTTGAATCTACTTGACGGCAATGGGATTGGTTTTTTTTGTTTTTTCGATTATGGTTGCTTTCATGCTGCAGTGGCAGAAATGAGTTGCAACAGGAACCATATGGCTACAAAGCCTGAAATACTTACTATCTGGCCACTTAGAAAAAGTTTGCAACCATTGGTCTAGGTAATTATAATAACTTCACCCCTCTTGCTAGTGATTGATTCAGGAATCAGCATGTTGTTCTCTTCTATTCAGTTAGCAATGATGGGAAGCCTGCTAGAGGCTTCTTGGAAAAATTTCCATGCGTTTAAAAGAGAATTACAGGAACAAATGACTTCTCTTCTTCCTCTGGTCATTGTCATATCTGAATGTGATGCCTGAAATTGCTGTTGCCATCTAGTACAAGGTTGTGGATGAAGCCAACACTGAGTAGGGCTGAAGAGAGAGATGGAAAGAACCTGAATATTTTATGACATCTTTGAGATATTGTACTGTGCTGGGAGCCTGCCCTACTTCTGGACTTCTCCTAGTCCACTGCGATAATGTATAATCTTATTGTTAAAGTCATTTTGAGGCAGATTTTTGTTACTTAGCACTGAAAGCATATTGTATTATTGAGTAGGTACATGTTTTATATGCCTACGGAAATGCCTGGAAGGATGATCAACGAAATATTAAAATCTCTAGGTGGTTCTTACTTTCTCTTTTGGGCTTTTCTAGACATAAGTATTTCGTTTGTTTATAATTTTTTCTGTTTGTTTTTTCCTTGTATTTAAACTATTTAAAGTGGATTACAGATTGGGAAGAATTGGTCTTCTCCTCGGCCAAAATTTTAATGGACACAGGAGCTATTATTCCATATGTAATTGTTTTTATATTTTTTTAGACTATAAAGAAAATACATTTAAGTCACTAAATGAGTAATCATGAAATGTTTCTATAAATCTTTGCATTTTGCTATTGATCATCATTTTTTAAAATTTTTTAATTTTTTTCCATACAAAAATTTATACATATATTGTTAAGTGACTGTAATTGCTCTCCCCATACTATGAGAAAACACTCTTTCTTTCCACCCCTGATTCCCAATGTCCGTTCAACCAGCTCCTAACACTCTCTGCCTTCCCATCTCACCTCTGGACAGAAGCTGCCCATTTAGTCTCTTGTATCTACTTGAGCTAAGAGGCACAGTCCTCACCAGTATCACTTTATGTCCCACAGTCCTGTCCAATCCCTGTCTGAAGAGATGGCCTCGGAAATTGTTTTAGTTCTGGGCTGATAGAGAATTCAGGAACCATGCTTTCCAGGGTTCATCCATTCTCATTCAGACCAATAATACTAGTCTTCTGACTAGAATTTGAGTTCTGCACCCCACCTTTCTCCTGCTCCATCAGGGACTTTCTGTTGTGTTCCCTGTCAGGGTGGTTGTTGGTGGTGGCCGGGCACCATCTAGTTCTTCTGGTCTCAAGCTGATGAAGTCTCTGGTTTATGTGGCCCTTTCTGTCTCTTGGGCTAATACTTTCCTTGTGTCTTTGGTGTTCTTCATTCTCCTTTACTTCAGGTGGTTGGGAACAATTGATGCATCTTAGATGGCTGCTTGCAAGCTTTTAAGACGCCAAACGCCACTCACCAAACTAGGATGCAGAGGATTTTCTTAATAAGCTTTGTTATGCCAGTTGACTTAGATGTCCCCTGAAAGCATGGTCCCCAGACCCCTA